AATCTTAATGTTGAGAGATGTGTTCATAGAATTCAGTGTGCATCATAGCTAAAAGAAAGTTTTAAAAATGACTTAAGATTAGATTAAGATGGTTTTGTTAATAGCTTTGAGGTGAAAAACCTTGGTAAACAATTTAAAGTTTAGAAAGGCTGAGTGAGGGATTCATTAAGGTCAGGGAAAACAAGAACAAAGCAGCCTGGTTATTATTAGCTGACTGAGCCTTTCTTGTTAGGATGGGTTGGTGATCAAAGATGATGATTAATTCCTTGTGCCTATTTCTGCCCTCAGTAAAACAAACTGTTGACAAATCAGTATGCACCCTGAGGATTTAAAGTAGACATGACTGATGTTTTTCATACGTAAAAATTTAGGTCTATGATTCTTTTAAGATTCCTTATAAGATTATCCTTTGAGATAAGTAATAAAGTGATTGATCCTTTCTTTGTAACCACAAAATGCAGCCTACCAGTAAAAGAACTGGCTGAGAAAAATATCTTGCTTGCTTATACTCTGTCAATCTATAACAAGTCGCTAGGACATGAATGTACGTGGGTTCTTGGGGTAATTTGTTTTTCATCTATAATATGTAGGATTTTAATCATATAAGGGAAATGAGAAACATGTTTTTTACATATATTTATTATAATCATTCACGTGAAAAATAGAGTATTTTTGTAATTTTTCTGTAATTTTTATATTGCCTGAAAGACTTTTGTTGGGATATATAAGCTGTAAAGCAAAAATCAAGACATGAGAAAAGAGAGGAAAATGACAAAATAGAGAAAGACCCTGACAGTGTGTGTGTTTTTTCCCTTTTTTTGCCAGCCACAGAGAGTTCATTCTCAGGGATGGTGGAGGAGGCTAAGCTAAGTTTTACTTCTTCAGAGAGAAAAGTGAAGTTGAGTGATAGTCTGCCAACTCTGCAGGCTCCCTCTCAAACCCTGAGCTGCTGGAGGCTGGTCCTCATGGCAGCTTTGGTCACCCATTCTATTTTTCTTTCTTTCTTTCTTTCTTTCTTTCTTTCTTTCTTTCTTTTTTAATGGTTATTCAAGGCAGGGTTTCTCTGTGTAACAGTCCTAGCTGTCCTGGATTAAAGGCATGTGCCACCACCACCCGGCTCTTTTATTCTTCTTATGCCTCATGATTAAACCCCCTTTTTTTATTCTCAGGGTCCCTCCTTGTTTCATTCCCTACACTAACATTCACTTCCACAAATCTACATGTAAAAACCAGAAGCTGGATGAAAGAGAACATACAGTATTTGTATTTCTGAGCCTGGGTGAGCTCACCTGATATACTTGGTACAGTAAGTTTCCAAATCCCTCGATTTTCCTACGAATTTCATTCTTTTCTGGGTGAATAAAAATCCAATAGTATATATGCATTATTTTACATCCATTTAGATGTGGATGGATGTACAGGATGATTACATTTCCTTGCAGTTGTGCAGAGCAACAACAGATATACATGGGTTACCACCCGTTGTGGAATACAATCCTTTGGGTATATTCCCAGCAATAATATAGAGAGGTCATGGTCTAGTATTTGTCTTTAGAGAAACCTCCATATTAACTCCCATAGAAGATGCACCACTTTATATCTTCACCAGCATATATATTTCAGTGACACCAGCCATTCTGAAAAGTGTGAGAGAGAATCTCAAACAAGTTTGAATTTCCATTAGCTGGAAGGTGAAGGATGAAGAACACTATTTATTTGTTACTGTCCAATTGTTTTCATTCTTCAGAGCACAGTGTTTAATTCACCAGCCCATTTCTTAACCAGCAGTTTGGGTTTATGGTATTTACATTTTTTCAGCTCTTCAAATATTGTAAACATTAGACCCTGTCTCAAGTTGTGTTTACAAGGCTCTCCCATTCTGGGGTCTCTTCACTGTGCTGTTAAGTTTCCTTTGCTATCAGCATTTTTGCTTAAATTGCAAATGCATGGGATTCTTTTTATTGAAATTTTCCCTTTAGTATTTTGAGACTATGGCTTAGCAATCCATTTTTTCAATTCTTATGGTTATTTTCTAAGCTAAGAGACTCTTTACTAGGTTATGCCTTTGTTGATCCCTTGTAATGTGTTCCCTATGTCTCTCTTGGCATTTTAGCTTTTAGATTAAGGACTGTGATCACATTTGAATTTACTTTTGATCATTGATATGGATCTAATTTCATTCTTTTTCAGATGGCTATCCAATTTAGCCAATACCATTTTTTTTTTTCAACAGGCTCTTTTCAGAATGCTTTCTGATAACTTTTGTCAAAAACTGGTTGACCAGAGCTGTTTGGCTTTATCATTAGGTTCTCTATTATGTTTCTCTGGTCTGTATGTCTGTTTTTGTGCTATCACCAACTATTTTTATCACTATGACTTCAGGGAATAATTTGAGATCAGACAATTGTGACAATCCCTCCAGCAATGTGTAATTTAGCTCTGAGATTCCTTTCCTGATTTTTCATTTGGAAGATCTATCCAAATACTAGAATGGGGCACTGAAGTTTCTCACTATGGATTCTGGACCTGATTTCTTTATCATTTGTTTTATGACATTGGTAGCAATAAGATTTGGTGTATAAATGTTGTAAATGTTCATCAATTGATTTTTATTAATATGTACTGATATATCCTCCTTTAAAAAATTAATTTAACTTTTTTATGTGAATATGTGGGAAGTATTTATGTGTTTGCATACATGTTCTCCTGTGTGTGTGTAGGACTGAAGTTGATATTGATAATATGTAATCACTCTGCAACCTTCATGGCATGGTCTCCCAATCAATTACAGCTTGCTCTGGGGATTCATGGCTCTGCTTGCCAAGGCTGGAAATGCACATGGATCCTTCTGTTAGCATTTATGTGGTGTCTGGGTTTCTAAGCTCTATGTAACCCTCACACTTGTGCAAGAAGTGTTTTAACGACTGAGCTTTCTCCCCAGCCCTGTAGAGATCCTTTTTATCTGTCTGACTATTGGGCCTTCTTTATCAGAAGAGAAGCATTGCTTCAGCTTTGTTAGGACTTCCATTTGCTTGATATATTGACTTTCAACATTTGGCTCTCACTTTTTAAATTCCTTTGGGAATTACATGAGCTTCAAGACAACACAGAAGTGTGTTAGTCCATGTAGTCCATGCATTTTTCCCTAGATTTTTAACTTTAAATTAGAAACATCTTATTTTACATAGAAATCCCTATTCCCTCTCCCTCCCCTCCTCCCCTGCACACCACTGGCCCCCTATCCCATCCCCTTTCCGCTCTCCAGAGAGGGTGAGACCTTCCATGGGGGGGGTCTTTAAAGTCTGTCATATCATTTGGAGCAGGGCCTAGATCCTCTCCCGGGAGGCTAGGCTGAGAGAGCATCCTTCCATGTGGAGTGGGCTCCCAAAGTCCATTCATGTACCAGGGATAAATACTGACCCTCTACCAGAGGTCCCATAGGTTAACCAGACCTCCAAACTGACATCCTTGTTCAGGGGGTCTGGAACAGTCCTATGCTGGTTTCCCAGCAATCAGTCTGGGGACCATAAGCTATGCCTTGTTCAGATCAGCTGTTTCTGTGGGTTTCTCTAGCCTCATCCTGACCCCTTTCTCATCACTCCTCCCTCTCTGCAACTGGATTCCAGAGTTCAGCTTAGTGTTTACTTGTGGGTGTCTGCTTCTGCTTCCATGGATGAAAGCTTTAGGATGGCATATAAGGTAGCCATCAATCTCATTATAGCAGAAGGGCCTTTAAGGTAGCCTCTCAACTATTGCTTAGATTGTTAGTTGGGTTCAACCTTGTAGATCTCTGGACATTTCCCTAGTGCCAGATTTCTGTTTAAACCTATAATGGTTCCCTCTATTATGGTATCTCTTTTTGCTCTCCTCTATTCTTTCCCTGACTCGATCTTCCTCCTCCCTCATGTCCTCCTCTTCCCTCTTCTCCCCCTTTCTTTCTCCTAATTCCCCCCTCCCCCCATGTTCCCAATTAGCTCAGGAGATCTTGTCCTTTTCCCCTTCACTGGGGGGGACCATGTATGTCTCTTAGGGTCCTCATTGTTTTCTAGCTTCTCTGGTGGTGTGGATTGAAGGCTGGTAATCTATAGTCTTCTACATGCCAGCATCTAGTTATGCATTTTTAATTGTTAAAATTAATGGCATTTCTATTCAAGTTATTGTTCAAAGCCCTTAGTTATTCCCTATGATTTTCTAGGTTTATTAGCATATTTTTAGTTCATTTCTTCTTCCTATTAGCATTAGAGCTTTGCTCATTTGGGCATAGCTGATTCTTTGCTGCCCTCTTCTATTCAACTGTTCCTCTCACACAGTGTCTTTTCTCATGTGTGCTGTGAATAAAGTGCTTTTTCTCCTTATGTGCATATTAAAGTTAAAATGTTAACAATTCTTTGAGAACTTCATATATTTTAGTAATATTCACATCCTGACATAATTCTAAAACGATAAACCCTCCACCCTCCCCTTACCTATCCACTCAAACTTTGTGTTCAACTTTCATGAAAAACAAAACACCTATCAAGTCCAATTTGTGCTTCACATAAACTCTTTGGATATGTGTGAATCTACTGAATTTTGGGTGACTTACCAGGGGTTACAACCTCAGAGAAAACTGATTCTTCCAGTAGCCCAAAGATCCTTAGCCAAGAGTAAACTTTTGTGCCCATCTACCTCCTCCAGGCTAGAATTTTCACTTGAGATTGTCCCAGTTTTGTGCATGCTGCCACAACTCCTGTGAGTTCCTATTTGCACCTGCCCAGTTATGTCCAGAAAATAAAACACTGTTGTTGCAGTCACCCATCACATCTATCTCTTTAAATCTTCTAGTCCCTCTTCTGCAAGTGACCCTTGTATCTGGGAAGGATGTTGTGACTAGTTGTGGGCCTTAATGTTAATCCCTATACACGGCAAGACAGAATTTCTCTGATGAAGATTGAGAGATGTACTGATTTGTGGGCATTACAACACATCATTTGAGTCAGTTTAATGCTAAGTCCACTTACCATAATCATCATAGGATATCCCTTAGGAGATCCATCGTAGGAGCTCTGACTTTACTAGTCACACGTTTTTGGCCCTAGTAACTCTGCCAAGTATGGGTGTCATCTTGGTGGTGTGGGCCTTAAATTCAACCAGAAAGTGGTTGGTTACTTCCATGATATTCATACCACTATCACCCCAGTGTTAGTGTGTTGCTAGTCTGGTCTTTATTGTAGTTTGCAGGTTTCACAGCTGGGTAAGAAGGATGATCATTTTCTCCTCTAGGAGTGTGAAAAGCACCATCCAGCACTGTGAGAGTTATGTAATAGTGATGAATGTCCACATCAGTGACAGATTTGTTACTTCATGTTCTATCATTGAAGCCTGTATCATGGTGCTTTGCTGAAAGTGTTTATCAGTGGTATGTACAGGTTTTCTGGTAGTCTTTAGGGTCTTTTATATATATAGAGTCATTCCATGTACAGGGAAAGGACCTGTTGAATAATAGCTGATGAGAAATATTTTACCTGTAAAAGGAATTCATGGCTAGTACACTTTACTGGATTTATTTGTTTGAATATATAATGAAAGGAGCACTGTGCTGAAGAAAATGCAACAAGTTGGCCAGCATATGACATTATAAAATGAAACTACTTGAAAGGGGATTTTTCTCTCATAGAAGAAAAGTAATTTAAAAAAATTTAAAATTCTAGTGAGGGATTGTCAAATGAGTTTTAATGAAAAATTTCAATATAGTGAATATACATTAAAAGTGACAGACCCTTGGTACTGGACTTATAGGTGGTTGTAGGTCACCTAACTTGGGTGCTTGGACCCAAACCTGGGTCCTCCGGAAGAGTAGTAAGCACTCTTAACTGCTGAGGCATCTCTTTTGTCCCACCTGTAACTTTTAAAAGTTAGGAAACAAGTAAAAAACTTAAACATAGACACATAACAAAAAATGAACTTTGTTAGAGTACCTGCATAAAAGGGCAGGTGCTAGGCATCAGATCCCCCTGCAGCTGGAGTTATGGCACTTGAAAAATAACTGTAATTAATTGACTTAATTTTGATATTGAGGAAATTGCTAATTTTGCCTGGAAAAACTCTTACTAATATAGGATAAGGAAATAACTATCTCCTAACCTGTATCACATGAGCTGAGGGTGACCTGACTGTGGTCCTGGATATATAGTACTATGCTTTAGAGCAAGCTTTGACGTGTTTTGCCAATATCATTTAATTAATTGCATTTAATTAATATAATTTAATTAATTAGAAGATTATTTTGAAATTGAGAGAATAATAAAATTTAATTAGAAAAAGTATTTGTAAAGTTAGGCAATAAATTCTATTTGGATTCTGTGAGGTTGTGAGTCAATTAAGTTTTGGGACTGTAAGAAATATTAGATGGATATGTTCAAGTGATAACTAGGGATAGGCACCCAAATATTATGCTGACATCGTCCATAAATGGCATCTCAACTGAATTTATTAAGTCTGTGAACTGAACTAAGAAAATTATGTCTTATTAATAGACTTCAGAATATATGATAATGTTAATATTGTTCTGAATTATAATTTTAAATAATATTACCATGTTTTGAAAAGATAACAAACACACATAATTCTCCCAGGATACAGCTGGATAAACATGCCCACTAAACTTGTATACTTCCCACTGTTGTAGAAATTCATAGGAACCAAATAAAGAAATCTCTCCTGAATTCATCTTTAAGATGTAGTACAGAGTTAAAAAAAATAGGCTTGCACGTTTGGAAATTTGGTTGTAAGCACAACTTATATTTTGGTTTTCAGCTATAATTCACAGAAAATTTCTCATATTTCTGTCCATTGAAAAGATAAAAGAAATATATAATATATGCGGGTGTGATATATAAATTTAAGTCAGTTCCAAAGGTAACAATGGTAACACTCCTGTATTTGAATTTATAAAAAAAAATCATTTGAGTCATTCTAGGAAATCTAGCCATTCATACGGATCCCCAGGGCATTCATAAGGCAAAAGGATAATGACCATAGCAAGAATAGGCTTGATCTCCTAAATTAGAATTTGGGAAGCCACTTCAAGAGCTGGACAAATAGTAACTGACAGTCATGATATGCTGCTTCTAGTGCCTGATTCCATTTGAGTCAAGATGACATAGTGCATGTTTGAGTTCTGGGTTCCCCAAAGCTTCTTTCTCTAGTTTAAGGATCTGAATAGGCATTAACATTTGCCCGGCTCTTTGTCCTGTACTCATCATGATCTAGTTGTAGTAAGAACAACAAAACACCTTTGTAACAGTGCACGTCCTTTATAAGTGAAACAGCAGTAAGAATGTCCACATGACATATTTCATGCATATGCTCTATCCTGTACAGTACTAATAATTCTTTTACATACATTCCATGGATTCCTTTACTAACATGTGATTTCTTTACTAATGAGCAAACACAGTTCTACAACATGAATTCATAGTTACACTGTCATTCATTTCACTCCTGTGGCATACACTGAGAATACTGGAAAAACACTTGGATGTTCCACTGTGGATTACTGAATGTCACATATGCACTTCTATAAATTAAGTTTTTTAGGAAAACCCACAGTTTAAAAAAATTATACAAGAATAAGCTAGCGTATCACAATCAACAAAGAATGAACTCAAGAATTCCAAAGAAGATAATGTGAGGAACAGCTTCTCTTCACAGTAAACACTCACTTTATGCAAATCCCACTAGGCTTCATTTAATTAAAAAGCTGAAAAAGAAAGGAAATTATTATATACTGAGCAAAAGGAAAGCACAACAAGCTACTTATTCCATTCTAAATTAGCTCACATAAATGTAACAAAAACACCATAATTATATTCATCTAATTGAAACTTTGCTATCAGGGCCTGATTGTGAAACAAATTCCTGTAATGGGGTCAGGCTTACAGTGAGGACTGGGTCAGAGGTGACATGCTATGTGCTAACTGAGCAACAGCAAAGTCAGCATTTAAAATTGAGATTTAGGTGGAACTAAAGGGAATAGACCTAAATAATAGCTAAGTTTGAATTTCTTGAATTTTACATTCTTAGTAATTACTTACAACCATGCAGACAAGCCACTTTGAAACTAAATATTAAAGCAAAAATGAAAGTAATGGTTACTTCAGCTGAGATGTTAGAAAAGTGTTCAACCTAGTGAATTTCATAATTCAATGTTTAAATTACATTCTGGCACCTATGACTTTGTCTTTCTGAAGCTTCCTTTCTTCATTAGCGAAGGGAAAACTTGTGGTTGATCCAAAGTTTTGTGTAATGCTAATGCTTTATAAACGTTTAAACACATTGAGAAATATATACAAAATATATATATATATATATATATATATATATATATATATATACTGAATACATTTATGTCTACAAAGAAAACATATTGCTTTAATATTTTACAATTTATGATTATATAAATGTAACATACACATAGCAATTGTAATGCATAATTGTTTTTACAGAATTGATAAGAAAGTATGTTCTGACAGCAGTATGCAGTCCGACATTACTTTTGTTTAGGAAACAGCACCTGATTGATGACTGTAGCAGACAAGTGTCACCTTGAAAGGAAGGCGAGTGCTTAGTCATCCTTGTGGGTACAAGCTGCAGTTACCACTGTATCCACACAAACCTCCACAGCAGCTGGCCAGGCAGCAGTGTGCTGTGCACAACCACTCACTGGCACTCTGCCCTCAGTTATAAGCTTGTTGAGAGGGGAAAGCCAGCGTGAGGAATGAGGGTTACCAGAGAGAAGCCTTTATCAAGTTATATACCCTGGGCATATAGTAACTGTGTCTACGTATGCACACGGCGAGCATGTGGGTATGGAGGCCAGAGTCTGCGGTCACATCTCTTCCTCATTCCCAGTCTCTCTTAGTTTATTGAGTAGAGTCTCTCATTGACCCTGAAGACACATAGCTCAACTGGTTGGCTCTGGGGATTTCTGTATGCTCCTGCAGTGCTGGGGTTACAGGCAGACACTGCAGGCTTGGCTTTGTAGGTGGGTGCAGCAAGCACTCTGTCTCAGCCACAGACTTTAATTAGAATTGAACAAGTAGGACCTTGAATCTAAATTTGCGAGTTAAGTGCTCTCTTTCCTTTCCTTCCTTCTCCTCCCACCTCTCTGTGTATAGAAGTCAGAGAACAGTCTTGGCATTCCTCAGGCACTGTAAACCTTTTTTTTTTTTTTTTTTTTTTTTTTCCCAATTGAACAGCATCTCTCATTGGTCTGTGACTTAGCTGTAACTAGGCGAGGTTGGCTATGTAGAGAACCTCATGGATGGATCTGCTTGTCTCTATGCCTCTCCACAGCTGACTCTGCTCCTGCTATCTACTTCACCTGGCAAATGGCTCTAACATGGCTGGAAGTCTGTATATTCAATTCACTGGGACAACACATAACACACCACCATGTTCTGATTTGTTTTCATGGGTTTGGGGGCTCAAATTCATGTCCTTAAACTTGCAAGGCAAACAATTTACTAACCAAGTCATTGTTTTGCTTTTAAAGAAATGATCTGAAAATTTTACATGTAGAGCAGCTAAGTTAACATTTTATTATTGTTAAAATATACCTTTATAAAAGCAAAAACAGTTAATATGACCCTTTATACCTTTGTGCCTTTTTAGAACTAGAAGGCTACAAAAAAATTCTATAAATCTATGATACTTAGATTGCCATATTTTCAGAGTAAAAGGAACTCTGTGATCACACCATTTTTCTATGTATAATTTGCAAGCATATATGCCTGTGTATCTCATATGTGCCTGGTAGCCAAGGAGGCTGGAACAGGATGTCAGATCCCCTGGGACTAGAGGTGCAGAGAGTTAGGAGCTACCATGTTGGTGGGAATTAAACCTGGGGCCTTTGGAAGAGCAGCCAGTGCTCTTAACTGCTGAGCCATCTCTCTAGCCCACAGTTCCATTCTTAATATAACAGTAGACTGATGATGTAAAGATACTATCTGTTCACTTTGGGGTTGTTTTTTCCAATGATCCCACTTATATGTCATTAGGAAATGACAAGTGTAACCAAAGTGATCATTATTAAACATCTTACATTAAATGATAAATCTAATAAGTAAAATATTTGCTCTTTTTCTACATATGAAATGTTCATTTTCATACAAAATTGAAGTAAAACACTGACAAAACCTACTCTTGCAAGGGGACCTAAGTTCCCAGCAACCTTATGGTAGCTCTCTGCCATCTGTAACTCCCGTTGCAGGGGATCTAATGCCCTCTTCTCTCTCTAGGGTTACCAAGCATGAATGTTGTGCACATACACTCACACATATAAAATCTTTAAAAAGGTTTCTCAGAAAAGTACCAGCTGTTATTCTCTGAGCAATCACTGAGAGTTTCATGCTTTATTTCCATTATATAACCATGAAATGCCCAAGATGCATTTTAACATGAATGTAGCATACTGAATGCATCACACTAATATCAACATTCCATGGTTAGTCTTACTTTTGTCTAGTCTGATGAATCTTTTCTCTTTTTATCTGTGCCTGCCTAATAATGCCAATGTATTATCAAACAGTCTAAACAGTTTTTTTTTCATTTCTGAAAATATGTAACTCATATAGTACCTCATTTATTAACTCTTATAAAGTACCTGGCAGATATCAAACAAGCAGATCTATGAGGACATTAAGAACATCTTTATGAGTGAGTACATACCATGTTTGTCTTTTTGTGACTGGGTTACCTCACTCAGGATGTTTTTTTTTTTCATTCATTTTTTTAGCTCATAAATAAAGTCATGCATGATTATGATACACAATAAAGTATGTTCAAAATAGCATGGCTAAATTAAACCAATTAACATGTTATATCACACATATTCATCATTTTTGTTTTGAGAACACTTAAAGTATACTATCTCACAACTTTTAAAATATAGCATATTGTTATCAACCATATTTATCATGCTCTCAGTAGACCTCAAGACTTCACAGAGTCCATGCCTCTTGTCCAACTGCAGTTTTATATCCTTAAACCAATTTTCACACTTATACTTTGAATGGTGCTTGGCTATTTTCCCCATATATTATTTATCATAAAGATGTATAAACAAAACTGTATTTAAGCCTTAATTACCAAATATTGACCATATTTCTCCTATTTGTATTTTCCAGTGACATTAGTTTTCTGAATAAGCAAGAAGCTGCCTCATGTCCTTCTGTCCTCATAGTACTCTCCATCAAGAATACATCTCACTGTGGCAACAGAACTCTACATAGTCACAACACTGACTCCCGCCTGGATGGTAATGATGTAAACATACAGTCTGACAACCAAGGTAACAGTACAAGCTAGAGGATAATGACCAAGGGAGTGAACTGTTTACATGGAGACTGAACACTGGGTGAGACTTGTACAGATATCCTTAAACACCTCCTTTCCTTTAGCCTCAGGTATGTAGCAATGCTCACGCCGTCTTTGAGGCTTTACTATTGCTCAAATATGTAAGGGATGCTGAGAAACACTAGTTTATCATGTAGAATGGCAGGGTGCTTTCCAAAACATCTTTCTTTATACTGGCTCTTTTACTCACATTCAGGATTCAGAAAACAAAAAAACCACTGCCCTTGACTTCCTGAGGGTGACATTTGAGAAGCACAGTAGCAAGTTCATTACTTAAAATTCAAAGTAACCTTTTATAGATCATGATTCAAATTTTCTCAAATCATAGCGCCTCATCAGAGTCACTTTTAAGCAGCAGTTAGCCAAGTGCTACAGATGGTCAACTGTTTCGTACTAGGCACAAAAGGGTGCTACAGGAAGTGGCATGACAAGCCATGTTCCTTACACTTTTTCTCTAGGGAGTCCCAGGTACACAGAGAACCATTAAAACGCTGCAATGAGAAAAGAATGTGTGGGACCAATCCTTTAAAAATATAGGCTGAAGATGCAGGCTGGGTACAAGACTCTACAATTTCCAGGGAGAAGTGGTAGAAAACATCATTTTGGATGCAGAGATGTGGCTGACTTGGGACATGTAGAAGATGAGCTGCTCAAGTCATTTAACCCTGGATCTCAGGGCTAATATATCTATCTGGCAGTGAGATAATAATCGAAAAACAGAGGCATGAGTACCATGATACAAAATATAGGACATGCAGCTTGAAAGGAAAAGCTAGTCAACTAAGGGACAGAAAGGACTACCTTGATGGTCCCCTGCCCCTCTGTTTATTCATTGTCTGACATGCTGGGAAACAGTGGTTCACTATTCCCCTTGGTTTTCACCTGTTCCCCTCTTCCTGATGTTCTGGAAACCCAAGACATGCACAGTGATTCGGACAAATGCATTTTGTCCAACTGGGAGCTAATGAAGTGATAAGAACTTTGCGTATAATTTCTAATTCCCTGCTCTTCATGTTCTCAAGCCAAGGGAGGAATCAGGGAGCTCTGTTGGCTAGGATACATGTGGTCAAGGGGCGCTGTCAGGGTAAGAAGGACCTCACTTCTCCACTAGGTACAATATGGGGGGGGGTTCTCCTTTCTTATTCCTCCTCCTTTTTAAAAATATTTAAAAAAAATTGAGGCTAGGTGTCCCCATTGTAGTCAAGACTGGCGACAAGCTCTTGATCTTCCTGCCTCCACCTCCCAAGCGCAGGTGTGCACCACATCTGCCCACTAGTTGAATTTTTACTCCATGTAGTTAGTGCTTTTGCTGACTCATGTTTCTAATAATGTGTTTTGTTTTGT